ACAGAAATCCACAAAGATACCCCCACAATAGACTGTTGGCAATGGTCGAGAGACAGCCCGAACTGACCTACTCTGGTGATGGGATGGCCAAACACCCTAACTGTCGTGCTAGGAACCCCATCCAATGACCCCTGGATCTTGAAGCATCTCTCCCCTGCACCTAAGTACAGTAACACTCACAGGCCCTTCCACATCAGTCTTTTCTTTAACACTGTAGTTTGTGCTTGTTGAATTATTCAGGTCATCTAATTGTAGAATGCTTTCCTAAGTTGTACTTTTAATTTATTTAATAACCGTGTTCCTTAGTGCCTCCCCAAATCTTTCTTCTTTCTGAGGCTTTCAGCATGAACTTCTGCTAATGATAGTTCCTGAAGCCCCACAACATACAGTTGATTTCATCTGACTATAAATTGTCCATGAGCTCTTCTATCTTGCTTTTATACTCTTGTTTTATGAAGGTAAGATGCTTCGAGATTCTTAAATGTTAGTGGTGAAATGTATGGTCACAGTGGTTGCTTGCCTCTTGGCAATATTTTTCAAATCTGTTCATACTGTGAATTCAGTGAATTTCCTTCCAGTATCTTAAAGTATACCTCTTGAATCCCAATCAATCACCGAATAGGAAGATTCTTCCTATATTTGATGAAGCACATGAAGCATAAGCCCAAGGCCACACAGTAAGCAGGGAGGAACTGTCCTGATCCTTCAAGTTACCCACTTAAGTAAGCTCATTTACATGAACTTGGCTTCAGCCAATCAGGGCTGCTGATCTGTGCAGCGCTTTTTCTGTACTCTGCTCTAGCAATACACCACTCTTTTTTTTTTCTTATTTAGAAGTATCAATTACTGTATAATTCCCCTGCCTCCTCTGCTTTCCTGGGACTCTGCAGCAAGCTGCCTCAGGACACCTGCTCCTGGCCCAATCATCTTCCTGCCTCTTCCCATACATGGAGGCTGCTTCTCCCTGGGGCTGGGTCACTGAGTCTCCAGCTCTGCAGCTGCAGGGGTCCTCCCAGCCCTCCTGGGCTTTCTTGGTCCTCTCTCTCCTTGGCAGCCTTCCCTCCTATATTGTGTTTCAGACGTACAGATGTCTCCGATTTTGCTGTGAAGACAGCATTTGCATTTTTATTCTCATTCTTCTGGCTGCTTGTGAGCGATTTTTCCAGAAGATGGAAAGGAAAATGGCATCTTTACCCAGCAATCCTCAAAAGGAATCTCTCAGTAAATCCCAAACATGTTTTTAAACGCAGACAGACACAGAGTCGGAGAAAGGGGCCTGACTCTGTGAGCACCTTTCTGCAGGACAAGCAGGCAGAGCTGAGCCTGTGTTCTCATGGGTGACAGACCAGGGGGGAAGCGTCTTTCCCTTGGGACCCATGCTCAGGGAGCAGCCAGGAGCCCCCGCAGTTCTGTTGAGATTAACTGCAGCTGCTCAGGGGTTTAAAAACGTCCTGTGATGATCTCACTCCAAAGCCACCGAAAGTATATTCTCACAGGGAGAGAGGCCTGCTGGCAAAG